GGCGGCGGCGGCTGCACCGGCGGCGGCGGCACCACACAAACAAGGACGCTGATTGGGCAGCTGCCAAGCGCCTCGGCTCCGCCTTCCCCACACGCCACGACGCCCATTGGGCGACCTAAGCCGGCCTCCCCGCCCTCCTCTTCTCGGCCATACCAATAGGGGACGGGATGCCGGGACTACACCCCACCCTTGAAGAGTGAGTGGCTGGAAAAGTGATGATTGGCGTACTTAAGACCCAATCCTAAACGGAGGAGGGGGATGGTCTAGCGGGGGCGCGTTAATGGGTACCTCGGCCAGTCCCAGACACATCCGGGTCTTCAGCAGCCCATTAAGTGTCGGGGGTCAAAAAATCGCTTCAGGCTGCAACTTTACCTCAGAGACGTTTTGGTCCCCAGGCAGCCGCCGTACCCCAGTATCCCAAAACCGGGATTCCCCTTTGGCCAGCTCTCATTCTTCCAATTCTAAAGATGGAGACTGGCGAACGGCGCTGGGCTCTGCGCTGGGTGGTGTGTTTCATCGCGACAGAATCCAGAAATTTCACGATAGAAGTAGCTTGAGGCGCTTGGGCCTTGCAGTCTATTTGGGGCGTGGCCTGTCTCCGTCTGCCAAAGGCCTTAAGCTTCCTGGTCTTCATTGTATCTCGGCACGGTCCTCTCGTGACTAAACCACAACAGGAGGAAAAAGGGCTCGCCAAATTGCTGAGAAATTACGCCGTGAAGAGCCCTCGCAGCTCCTTCTCTCGGGATCTCCTGGTATGGTTAGGTTCACAGTGAGGGAAACAGCCTCCCACTCCACCGACTCCACCTAATCAACTCAAGGCCCAGCTCCTGCTAGCCTCCCTACTTCCCCGAAGCAGTTAGGGCCCCCCCTAACTCTCAGCGTTGCTCGAGCAACTAACCACAAGTATTGCTCTTGAACATCTTGACGATAGGGACCGAGTATCACAGAGTCAGTGTGTTGGGGAAAGACTGTGTAAGGCACTGTGCTATGTGTACAGTCTTATTTATTCGTTTAAGAGGTTTACGTGGATTATTTATTCCTCGTAACTCTGTAATACTATTATCTCCATTTTACAGATGAGGAAAATGAGGTACTGATCAAATGATTTACCCAAAGTTACACATGATAATTGGCAGAGCTGCAATTTGAACCGAGGTAGATCAAGAAAGGGTCTCAGCGAGGCTAAGTGACTTGCAAAGGTCAGACAGCTCATTAGTGACTAAGCAGTGGTTTGAACCCAGAAATAACTGGTTCCAGGGGGCACTAGAATGTGCTTTCTGAATCATTTAGAAGTCATGCTGTGCAATGGAAATGAAACTAATACAAACTACAATATACAAAGTAGATAAACAACTAAGTCCTACTTTATAGCACAGGGAACTGTATTCAATAGCTTGTAATAACCTATAATGAAAAAGAAAATAAAAAAGAATATATATAACTGAGTCACTATGCTGTACACCAGAAACTAACATAACATTGTAAATCAACTCTACTTCAATTAAAAAAAAAAGAAAGAAGAAACTAATGAAGGGCATAGCCACAAAAAGACACAGGTAGACCTGGAACACACACAACATACAGAGACATGCCACAGTTCTTAAGTGGGTAAAAAAACCTCATTCTAGTATAATGTCCTGGTAAAGAACGTGGTATATGGAGTCAGACTGCCTGGGTTTGGATCTCTTACCAGTTGTGTGATTTGGGTGCAAGTTACTTAACCTCTCTCTTCTCTATGTCCTAGTTTCCCTATCTTTAAAATGGGGATGATTGATAAGTACCTAGTTCACAGGGTAATTGTGAGGATGATAAAATAACACATTTAAAATGCTCAGGACAGTGCTAAGGATACAGTAAGTACTCAGCGAACATAATAGCAACTATTATGAGAGTTTTCCTCACTTTTCCAAAATTTCACCCTCTAAGTTCAAAATTCAGCTTCAGTTGTTATTCTACCTGTAGTACCTACCTTGTACTGCACTAAAAATTATTTCTCTACTAACCCTTCACTTTAATGCCTTCACTAACTCAGTTATTTCCCATACATGATATAAGACCTATTATGTGATCAGACACTCTTCTGTGTGCTGGGGATATAGCAATAAATGGGACAAAATCACTGCCCTCATGGAAGGTACAGCCCTCTTTCCCAAACGTGCTATTTTGTCTGTTATCAGTCCAATGCGTTCTCTGCGTCCGAAGGGCCATTCTTCAAGGGTTGCAAGGATATGAGAGAAACACAGTGGTGGAAGATACCAGCCTGAGGAAGATACTAGTGAGGACTGAGGAAATGGCTTTCAACAAACTTAAAGTCAGGCCATGGAGGGGGGACTTTCAATTTGGAATGATTAAGCTCCAAGAAAGACAAGTAAGTGAGTCCACTGGTGTAATGGACATGACCTTTGCCCTATGCAGGCTCTGCCAGTTTGTTCATTTTCTTTTTGGGGCTAACATTTATTTAGTGTGCTTAGCACTTTATGTGGATTATATAATTTATCTTTAAACAACCTCCCCAGTTTGCAGATGAGGAAAAACTGAGGCACAGCATTTAACTTGTCTGATGTAATAAAATTAGTAAGTGCCAGAAACAAGATTTAACTAAAATTTGTCATACTCAAACCATATACACTCTGAAGTCTAGGAAGATAAATTGGGCCAGGTAATTTGGACATATCCTTTCCCCCATACAACTCCCTAGGCCAAGGACAGAGATGTCAGATGCCATATGAGTACTTTGCTATTGGAATTCCCAGATACTTTTGTGGTTAAAGAATTTAGTAGTTTCACCCATCAGACTATAGGCCTCTCGAGGAAGCCCCAAAATGTGAAGCATCAGCTGGGAGGTAAGGTTGATTATTATTGTTTGTGAACTGAGAGACACTCTAGACCAATAAGATTTTATGCTCTATTAAGGTAGAGACAGCCCTAAAATTCTCTCTGTAATTCCAGACAGTTCAGTGCGTGGCTGGGCATACTACACTCATTAGAAACTTATGATTTCAGGAAGGCAGTTGCTCCCTTGCAGATGGCCCTTGGGGATGATACAGGGAAAGTTTGGTTCTAGGGAGTGGGTCTGATCAGACCCTGGGGTAACATGAGGGTTTCCTTCTGAAGAAGGCATCTCCTAGTCCCTGGAAAAAACAGATGGCATTTGATAAACAGCAAGGACCTACTGCATGTTACCTACAGGGAACTATAGTCAATATCTTGCAATAACCTAAAAGGAAAAAGAATCTGAAAAAGACTGCGTTTGTGTGTGTGTGTGTGTGTGCGCGCGCGCGCGTGTGTGTATAACTGATCACTTTGCTATGCACCTGAAACACAGCACTGAAGTTCCAAAAAAAAAAATTAAAACAAACAAAACAAAACAGGTGGCATTTTCTAAGTTCCTGCTTCCCTCCTGTGCAGCTCAAGATAGGATGGGGAAGCATCCTCTGGCTTGAAGTTCCCAGAATTCAGAAGCAGTACTGCTCTCTTCATCCCCTGATCACCCGTAGGAATCTGCACTGGGGCTCATGTAAGTTATTTCCTCCATTAACACTGCTGCCCTCCCTCCTTCCCCAAGGCATTTCTCTTTGGTTGGCTAATTCCCTTTGGTAATTGGTTTTGCAGCTCTGTTAGGAGTTGTTTCCTGTGTTTATTTCATTATACAGGAAAGAAAGGGAGAACTCGGAGTGGGCCAAAAGGATTAGAAAAATGATGCCTGGCTCCATGATGCCCACATGCACTGAGCCCCTTAATCCTTGCCCCTGTCTTCCTGGTGCTGTCCCTAGGCTGAGACCCTGGCTGGAAGAGTACTGCCTGCAGCTAGAGCAACTAAGGAGGCCTAGGATGAGTGCCAGGACTTCCAGGATGCATGAGGGCTTCCAATACCAATGACCGGGGACAGGGTTGTCATCCCTGTGGAGGTACTAGAGAAGCTGGGAGGGGGGAGCTGGGGGAGAGGAAAGAAGGCAGAGATGAGCTCAGGGCCCCCAGAGAATGGAGCCTTTGTGTGGGGTACAGATGAGGGACAAGGGGGTGATTGTGTGGGAGGGCCGGAAGTGCCACACAGACTGGCACCACCATAGCTATTACCGGATTCACCCCTCTCCTGCCCTGAGAACTCCCTATGCCCCAAGGGACCAGTACTAGACCTGGTCGGGGAAAGCAGTGTGTGCCTGAAGGCAGCAAGGGGTGGAAAGGTGGAAAGGAGGATGTGCAGCCAAGAGAAAAAGAGAGGTATCCCCTGCCATTACCCCAGACCCAGGGAACAGGAGGCAGAAGAAAAAAGACAGAAGCAGCTTTTACTATATTTACATCCAACAAAACTTCGCAAGGAACAATCCTTATTGCACAGTCAGGGCCCTGGGTGGGTGAGGCATTCCCCAAGGTGGAGTGGACAAGAAGGATCAGAACTAGAGGGGGCACCAATCCTCCCTAAGGGGAGCCTGGGACTCCTCTAGCTCCCACCTCCCGAATTTCAAGGAGCTCCAAACCACTGGACCATGGTGCCCCCATTTCCCTTCTCTTTCTCACCATCCATGAGAACCCCATAAGCAAGGGGGCTGTGGCTCCGGAATAAATAACTTAAAATAAAATACAAACACTAAGGTAGAAAGGCATGGAGAGCCTTGGGCTCCTTCGACAACTCTAGGGAAGAGGGACCATCACTGGTGGGGAATGACATCCCTCCCTCCCATTCAGGGCAAAGGCTCAGTAGCTCTGTATCTTGCCAGTTGTTTTTTAAAACAAAAACTTATAAAAATGACCAGGGCACTGCAGATCTGTGGGTACCCTGGAGGAGAGTTCCTGGTATAGGATGGGGAGGTACAGAGATGTGCCAGCTCCCCCACCCCAGCCCCCAGGCATCCTCCAAAATCAGCATGAGCATGTTGGGCAGATTGGAAATAGGGGTTTTGTGACTTTTGGTAACAGTGGGTCCCTCTTCCTGCTGCCCCCGCTCAGAGCTTACGGCTGGGCATGCTTCCCAGCCTGTTCCCAATTCCTCTATAAAAGGAACAGGGAAGCAGTTTATCTCTAGAATCCTTTCTCCCTCACCTCCTCACTCCAGGCTGGATAAGGAAGCTTAAGGGTCCCTAGCATTCCAGAGGTGCTCCAAAATATTTTCGGCAATCAATGGCCTTTGGGGTGGGCATCTGTGCCCGCCGCTGCCTCAGCTCCTCCTTGCCCATGCTGCTGGACAGCTTGTTAAAGGCGGACTTGTACTTCTTGTCGAAGGCCACTAGGGAAGAGGGTGGGGGTAAGTTAGTATATTAGGAGTCCAGCCTCCCACACCTGGCCCCAGGTCTCTAAACTCCTCAGCCCCCTGCCTGCTCCCTCACCTATATCCACGTGGTCCTTGCCCAGAGCAGCCATCGTTAGGAATAAGATCTCACGGTAGATACCCCTGGAGCAGAGGCAGGAGGGTATAAGCGAGGGAAAGGGGGCATGGAGCCGGGACAGACCAGTGGGAGCAGCATACCTCTGCAGGTGCAGGCCAGCGGGAGGGGGCCCTAGCGTTTCCAGAAGGAGCCCTATAGCCTTGTGCACCTCATTGAGACCGACATGGCGCAGCACCGACTCCAGCAATGCCAGGCTAAGGGATGCAGGTACTGGGCCTGGCCATACCACCCGCTGGGGGATCTGGCCTAGGTGAAAAAAAAAAAAAGGTACCCAGGATTAATGAGCCCTCCAAGCGTGGGACCCACCCCTTCCCACCCTAGGCCAAATACCAGACTCACTGTGGACCCTCCAGAGCACATACAGAGGTGGACAACTACTGGGGTCAGGGGTCAGGACATCCCACAGCAGCCGCACCTGCACAGATGCTGGATCGGGCATTAGCCAAGGAGATGGGGCCTGCAGGGAACCAAGATAAAGGAGCCAAGCTCAGGGAATGGGAGGCAAAGGACAGGAAATGGACAGGCGATGTTCCCAGAGACAGACGGCCATCACAGGACATAGCCAAAGAGAAGAGGAAAGGAACTCTTGTTCTCCACAGGAAGGCAAGCTCTGTGAGAGCAAGGACTTTGTTTTGTAGTCTGCTACATCCCTAGTGCCTAAAGCTCTGCCTAGAACCTAAAAGGTGCTCAATAAATATTGGTGCAATGAATAGACGAACATTAACGGATCATCACCGAGGTACCGGGCACTATACTAGGTGTCCAACAACAGACCAGCGAGGTGAGTGCTTACGCCTTTTTACAGATGAGAAAATTGTAGCTCAGAACAGTGAAATAAAAGGGCCAGGAGTCAATCCAGGTACAAATGACTCCCAAGCCTGTGCTCTTTCTATAGCACCAAGGACACAGAGGACTGAGAGACAGAGCTGGGAGACAAGGAGGGGAAGCAGGGACCACATCAGGGCACTGACCGGGGTGGGTGGGGGGCCATCACAGGAGGCCAGCACCAGGCATGGCAGAATACTGGGCAGGCGCAGCCGCTGGAAATACCACAGAAGGTTCCAGAAGATGATGGGGTGGGCAGCCGGCAGCTCAGGCAACGCCAGCACCTCACTGCCCTCGTTCTCTACCAGTGACTCCAGCTCCTTACGCAGCACCAGGGGGCTCAGGTATGCCCATGCCCCACCCTCGACCCGCCGGGAGGCAACCTGTCAGGCACAAAGGGGAAGGGCAGTGGAGGGCATGTACCATGGCCCCATCCTCAGAGCCACGCTTCCCACTGAGCCACCACAGCCAGCAGCTTCTGGGATGCCCCTTGCTCTCGATGCCCATCTCTCCCCAGCACCACTGAAGCCAACCACAGGGCAACATACACACACAGCCCTTACCCCCATGTGGCCATTGCAGAGCTGGGGTTCATCCAGGGCAAGGCAGAGCCTGCGGTCACTGAGCACAGGGCCTGGGCCCCCAGGGACAGGAGCGTCTCTGTTGCCACTGGCACCAGCAGGCTTGGGGCCGGGGGCACTGCAGGAAGACAGCGGGAGGGGTTAGCCCTTGGACCTTCACCTCCGTGGCCCACCCACCGCACTTTCCCCGCTTTGGGCACCTGGGTCGGGAATCAAGGGTCTGGACACTGAGCAGGGGCACAAAGGGGCAGGCACAGAAGGGGCAGGTTGTGTTGAGGTTGGAGTCGTCAGGTGCCCAGCCGGCCATGATCTCCTCATCGTACACCAGTGAGTCACAGGCGCGGCACAAGGAGCAGCTGGACAGCAGAATCTGCAGGCAGGGAGACCCCAGGAAGCAGGCCCTTTTGGCATCCAGGCTCAGGTGCCCATGCTCCTTCTTCCCCTGCCCCTCTCACCTTCACATCCCAGCCCAGCCTCCCCACCTCCTCCCAGCCCCTGCCTGTGACAGAGTGAATGGGAGTGGTGTGTGTGTGTTCAAGCACATCTGTGTAGGAGGGGTTATCCTCACTTCCAGGGAAGGCGGTGGGAAGGATCCAGGGGTGTCGCTGAGGCGCTCTGAGGAACGGTGAAGGCTCACACTGCTGAGAGAGGATTCTGAGAGGTCCCACTCACTGCCCAGAGAGGCTGAGCTCTGCCATTACATGAGAAAGCACAGTTAGCCCACCCCATGCTCCTCTTCACCCAGGATGCTGGCTTCAGCCGCCCCTCACGGCCCTCTCTGGGCACACCTGGTCAGGAGCCCTTCCCCAGGCCTCCCGGTGCTACAGTGGCTGGACCCTCCCCTCACTGGCTACCTCGGACGCAGTGGATCCAGGGCGCTCCCGGGGGCGCAGAAGGCTGTCCATGGGGCTACGGCGGGCTGGGGGAGGCAGATCAGGGGGCAGCTCAGGTGGGGGAACGCGAGAGGCAGGGGAGCGGCGGGAAGGAGTGAGCAGCTGTTGGAGGCGGGCACCCAGCCCTCGTCGCGGTGTGCTGGCCTCATCCTGACGCCCACCAGCCTTGGGCACCCGCCCACTTGACCCTTCCAGGGCTTCAGTTGACTGGGTACTCAGGGCTGAGCCTGAGTCCCCTGGGCTGCCTCCAGGTGCTGGCTCCTCTCCGGTCAGGCTCAAGTCTGAGAGGCTTCCATCGTGCCAGGGTACAGGTGATCCCCGGGGTTCCAGTACCCCTAAGGCCTCTATCACTGCAGGGCAGAAAAGAATCAGGGAAGATGGAACTCAGCCCCTCCTCTAGGAACTGAGTAAACACAATTCCTGGCCGCACGAACTCTGGCACCACACAACCCCCACCATGATGGCATTCCAGGCAAGATGCCCTCAGGGTCTACCCAGCACAAAGTGCCACCCCCCCATCCTGGCTCTAGTCTTCCCCTCTTTCACTGGCAAGTGGTTAGGAAAGCTGACAGGACTGAGGGGTGGGGGGGTGGGACAGGGGTACTCACTGTGGGCCACGCCAGCCTCCACAGTGGGCTGTGCCCCTCGGGCGCTACCCAGGCTGCCGCTCTTCACCAGACGCCCCGTAGGTGAGGCGGGGTCCCGCAGGCTTCGCCCAGCCCATGTAGTCTGGCGCTGAAGGGGGCGGGTTGGGGAGAGGCGCCCCAGATAGGGCTCTGTAAAAGACAGGGAGGGGGTTGAAGGCAGCCGGCTAGAAACCCAACCCCAGATTCCAAAACAGCTCCTTGCGTGGACCTGGAATCATAGGGCTTCTCCCAGGCAGAACTTCATGTCTTTTGTCACCAGCCAAGTGTAATTTCAATACCAACCACTAGGCCAGCCCCAGTTCTCTGTGCCTGTCCCTGCCTGAGCCTCCCTAGTCCATCCCGAGCCATGTCACCAGTCCCTACTCACCTGTCTGGGAGCTGCCTGCCTCTCGTTGTGCTGCTGTCTCCGCCTCCTCCTCCTGCTTCGGCTGCTGCCGACGCTGCCGCCGCTCTCTCAAGGGCTGGCGGAACTGAGCAGCCCCCATGACGACATTCCGGAGCTTGGCCCAGCGCAGGCGCCCACCCGGTGTACCAGACGGCCACTTGCTTTCCAGCACCGCCTGCCAAGCACCGTGCACATCAAGGTGGCCTAGTTCCACACCCTGGCCCAGCCTGAGGCCCACTGTCTGACCTGGAGCCCCAAGGACCAGCTTCCCTCCAGATGTCCTGCCTAGGACTGTGCTGCGTGGCTCAGCCAGGAACAAGAGCCCAGAAGAGGCAGCTGACAGGAGCCACCCTGTGGGGTTCTAGAGGAAGTCAGAAGTGATGGAGACAATCTGTA